TTAAAAGGGAGGCAGAAACTGGAGAGGTCAAAGCTAAGATGGTACCCAAAGGAGAGTTAGATGCTGAAGAAGCAGAAGCTGAGGTGACACTTAAGGGGAAAGCAGAAACTGGAGAGGTCAAAGCTAAGGTGGTACCTAAAGGGGAGTTAGGTGCTGAAGAAGCAGAAGCTGAGGTGGTACCTAAAGGGGAGTTAGGTGCTGAAGAAGCAGAAGCTGAGGTGACACTTGAACGGGAAGCAGAAACTGGACAGGTCAAAGCTAAGGTGATACCTGAAGGAGAGTTAAATGCTGAAGAAGCAGAAGCTGAGGTGACATTTAAATGGAAAACAGAAAGTGGACAGGTTAAAGCTAAGATGGCACCTAAAGGGGAGTTAGATGCAGAAGAAGCAGAAGCTGAGGTGACATTTAAATGGAAAGCAGAAACTGGAGAAGTTAAAGCTAAGATGGCACCTAAAGGGGAGTTAGATGCTGAAGAAGCAGAAGCTGAGGTGACACTTAAATGGAAAGCAGAAACTGGAGAGGTTAAAGCTGTGGTGGCTCCTAAAGGGGAGTTAGATGCTGAAGAAGCAGAAGCTGAGGTTACAATTACATGGAAAGCAGAAGCTGGACGGGTCAAAGCTAAGGTGGTACCTAAAGGGGAGTTAGAAGCTGAAGAAGCAGAAGCTGAGGAGTCTCTTAGAAGGGATGCGGAAACTGGACAGGTCAAAGCTAGCATGGTACGTAAAGGGGAGTTAAATGTTGAAGAAGCAGAAGCTGAGATGATACTTAAGGGGAAAGCAGAAACTATAGAGGCAGAATCTGATATGATAGCTGAAAGGGAATTAGAAGTCGAAGGTGCAGAACCTGAGGGGACACTTAAAAAGAAAATGGAAGGCAAGGTAGCACTTAAACAGAAAGCAGAAACTGTAAAGGCAGAGGCTGATGTGATATCTGAAGGGGAATTAGAAGTTGAAGAATCAGAAGCTGAGGTGACACTTAAAGGGAAGGCAGGAGAGAAAGCACTTAAAGGGAAGGGAGAAATTATAGAGGAAGAGGCTGATGTAATACCTAAAGGGAAATTAGAACTCAAAGAGGCAGAAGCTGAGGGGACACTTAAAAGAGAAGCAGAAACTGGACAGGTCAAAGCTAAGGTGGTACCTAAAGGGGAGTTAGGTGCTGAAGAAGCAGAAGCTGAGGTGGCACTTAAAATGGAGGCAGAAACTGGACAGGTCAAAACTAAGATGGTACCCAAAGGAGAGTTAGATGCTGAAGAAGCAGAAGCTGAGGTGACACTTAAAAGAGAAGCAAAAACTGGACAGGTCAGGGCTAAGGTGGTACCCAAAGGAGAGTTAGAGGCTGAAGAAGCAGAAGCTGAGGTGACACTTAAGGGGAAAGCAGAAATCGTAGAGGCAGAGTCTGATATAATAGCTGCAAGGGAATTAGAAGTCGAAGAGGCAAAAGCTGAGAGGACAATTAAAAAGAAGGCAGAAGGCAAGGTTAAATGGAAGGCAGAAACTGTAAAAGCAGAGGCTGAGGTAGCACATGAAGAGGAGGCAGAAGCTAAAGAGACGGAAGATTCAGAAGCAGAGGGAGAAGTGGTTTCTGTGGTCAGAGGATCTCTGACAGAAACCATCATTGGAGAGCAAAGGTTAGTGAGAGAAGAGATTATAGCAGAAGTGAAACGAAAAGAAGCATTTGTTGGAGGAGATAATAAAAAGCAGGGGATGAATCATGAAGCTGGTCTCCAATTTGAAGTATCTGATGAGACTGAAACAAGGGAAACATTTCTTTACATGGAAGTGCAGGAGGAAGTCATAGCTCCTGAAGAAGAGAAGGAAGACGATGACTCAGACACAAGAGAAGAGGTGCTAAAAGAAGGAATGATAACACTTGCAGATGTAGAAGAAGCTCTGTTAATAGGGATTCAGCAATTGATAACAGAAGTATCACAGATCAATGAAAAAGTGGAAGATAAAGAAGAACCTCCAGTGGGAAGATCAGCAGAAGAAGCATTGACTCAGGAGGGTGCTGTGATGGAAGATTTTTTTGCTGTTGTAGTAGCAGAAAAAAGGGAGATCACTGAGATTGCTAAAGCTGAGGAAGAAGGAATAGGGGAGCCTTTGGAAGAAATCCCTTCCGAAGAAAAAGATGGAAATACAAGCAGTGAAATAGAATTGCAGGAGACTACAGATGAAACTATCGCAATGACAAATACCATTCTTTGGAGCTCCCAGCAATATGAAAGAGAGTATTACCAAGATCCTACTGGATCTGCTTTGGAAGAAAAAGATGGAAATATAAGAAGTGAAATAGAATTGCAGGAGACTACAGATGAAACTATCACAACGACAAATACCATTCTCTGGAGCTCCCAGCAGTATGAAAGAGAGTATTACCAAGATCCTACTGGATCTGGTTCGGAAGAAAAAGATGGAAATATAAGCAGTGAAACAGAATTGCAGGAGACTACAGATGAA